ACAGGATGGGAACGCTGTCACATGGGGAAGCCTCCGAGTGATCATTTCCTGCATCTCTCTTCCATTACCCAAACTCTGTAAGCCTAATGCAATGTCTGGAGCCACGTCTTCCCAGCCAGCTGACTGTAATTTTTGCATTGGGCAAAGCCCAGGCGCCGATGTGCGGTGGTTGTGGCACACACACGCTCACAGGCACAACCCTGCCAGGCGACCGAGGCGTTGCAGGAGGAAGCCGTACCAGCCCTGAGCTGCTTCTCCTGGGGATGCAGGGATTGACTGGAAGTCACTCTGCCTTCCCCATGGGAACACTGATGGACAGGTCCATGCCAGAGCTCAATGCCTCCCCAGAAGCCCAGGACCTCATGTGAATGGGAACTTGCTGCAGAGATCCAACAGTTAATGAAAAAAGAGAAAAACATGAACTTTCCTGTTAATTTCTCTTGCATTTTCATACATTTATGAGACTCATGAAGGTAAAGCAAGCCTAGGGTGTTAATTAAAGTTTCTTCATAGAGCACACAGACCAGAGGGCACTCGGGCATGAGGCTGAGACGCCTGCGCACAGCCAGCACGCTCTGCCGCAGGGACAAAGCTGAGGTACAATCCTCGCTCCAGAGGAGCTCCGCAGCTCTGCAGCAAACATACCCAACTGGGCAAATTGCAAAAATAACACACCCAGCTGATACTTTGAGCATGGCTTTTGTTGGTTTGAATTTAAAGAAAAAAAGAAAACAAATGCCAAAAAGTTCATTGGTGTTTACATGCAAGAGATTATCCAAAAAACGATATACAATTATTTTGCAAGGAAACCAGCTAAGAACTCTTTGCCGGAGAGAGAAACTCCTCATTGTCCAAGGTCACGGCAACTCTCACCGTAGTATTTTCTCAGCAATACACATGATAAAAATGAATCCTAATAAAACCCTTTGGACAAAGGAGATACCTAAAATGAAAATATGTGCAACTTTACTGACCTACTGTTGAGAAACAGATGCTGAATTGATGTAAACAGACTAGTTGGAGCAGTAACGGACTCTGGCATTAATAGGACCAGGCTGGGTAAGCATAACGACCCTGCCAGTACCCGCACTGTGAAATGTTTTTATGCGATGAGTAGTAAGTATCAGCACTAAAACGGCCTTGTAAATATTCTGCATTCAAGGAGTTTTTAAAACGGTTCATTACTCCAACTGCTACCAGGTTTGGTTAATCATATGTATTTTTACAACATATTTGTTTCTCTTTCCTTCCAGTTAAAGCTATGCCATCTTTGAAACACGAGGCAATGAAAACAACAGTAGGTGCTATGAAAACCTACTTCGTTGTGTAAAAAGACAGCAGCAAGTCCCACAGCCCCTCCAGACACGGTCTGGGTACACAGAGGCACTACGGCCTTGTGCTGGCGTGGGCTGGGCTGGAGCTCTTGACCGAATTACATTTTCTGGCCCTTTCAGGTGCTTCCTACCAGCCTCTGCTTCAGGAGCTCCGGGCCATCCCCTCTGCCGGCACAAGTGTCCTACAAGAGGAGAGTGCAGCAGCCCGGAGAAGAGGTCATGGTAATCCAGCCCGTGAATCATTTCCACTAACGAAGCCACCGAAAATGAGTCAGTCCTTGGCTTTGTGTGGCCAAAACACAGAGCGATGAAATTGCGGCATTTTTCCTGTGAGAAAGGACTTTTGCAGTAAAGCAAAAAGGTTTCTAGAAATCATTCCTAAATCTAGCAATATTTATCAACTTCTTGGAAATATAATTGTGTATTAGCTAGAGCAAGAGGAGAGGGGAAAAAAATCTTTTTTAAGTAACTGGGAGGTCTCCCATTTAGTGGTTTTATTCCGCAGCTTAATCCTCTATTTCACATGGATGCCATGGAAAATTAGCACCAATCTTTTCACTGGAGACTGAGCTCCCACCAGAGCAGGCGGAAGAGCACGGACAATGGACAGATCCCATTCGTTTCCTCCGCGGCGGTCCTGCCTTCTCCGTAGGCAGATTTGATTTCCTCCAGCACATGCTGTTCTCCCTTTATCTGATCCTTCTCCCCTCAGGTTGCTTTTCCTTCTTTCATGGGAACTGGAAATCAGATCTCAAGATGTGCTTCCTACAATACCTGGAAAAATAACCTTAGAGCAACTTTCAAATGATTGCAAAATATTTTTTAAAAATCAATTGTACAAACAATTCTGGTGTTTGGACAAAAAAAGCGACTCCTCTGTAACACAGCTGAGCTTTTCGGCATCAGACTGTTACCGATACAAAATAGTTTAAGCATTTTGAGACTTACCGTGGAATAACCTGTGCCAGCAGCCACGACGTCCCGGCCGGCAGCTCCCCATCCTCACACACACTGACCTCTGCCTTTGTCAGGAACAACCGGCACGTTGGCAGAGGAGTCTGCTCACCCCAGCGCAACGATGGCTGCAAAGACCCCACCACCGCAGGAGAGCCCTGGCAGCCCCCAAAGCACCTCAGCACTGGCTTCGGACGGGAACAGCGAGCGCTGGGCCGGGGCCAAGCGCAAGCCCCAGTGCAGGCAGCAGGAGCAACGTCTGCTTCTGTCGCAGCTCCCTTCCCACCAAGGCACAGCCGCTCTGCAGCCCCTCCATGCCCTCAACAGCACCGAAAGCCTCCCTCCCTCTTCCAGGCACAGTTAGCTGAAAGGAATACTAGAGAGCTTGATGCTTCTCGCATAGAAATGGTGAGATTATTAAATTGAGAGTGATGTGCTACAGCATCTCAATCTCTGGTAGCATTTTGTGCTATCCCCTCCAAGGCCAATGGCCAAAGGAGAGGCGCTGCGTGTGTTGGGATCGCTCCCACACTCAGGGGCTGCATCCCAGCGTTTCAACACACTGATCACAGCCTGACCCGAGTGAGACTCAAATAGATGGTCACAATGCAAGAAATCCTGGGGCTATCAAAAAGTAAGCAAATCTAAAATGGGGGGTGAGGGGGAGCAGCGGGGTGATGCTGAAGTTTCAGAGATGCCATTTCAGCCGCGTGCTGTACAAAAGGTGCGATGCAAACCCTCCCACCCAAGCAAGCTGCAGGAAAATCGCATTGATGCGTCTTCTGCAAAGGTCACCATGTGAGGTAGCACATTTTAAAACCTCCATGGAAATCACAAGTATTGCCCATGGTAAGGGCCGAGGCAACACAGCCATCTCCCCTCTCTGGAGAAGGACGGAGCATGCTGTTTTCCCCAGTCAAGAGATGAAACTCCTTTCTGGGAGATTAAGACTGAATCCTGTCTGAACCTGCTCAGAGGCTTACGATGCTGGAAGGAGAAAACAACCCAGCTGACAAGACGCAGGCAGAAAGGCCAAAGGTATTTATTTGGTCCCTGCAGATGGCCACAGACCTGCCACTTACGTGGTGTAAAGTGGCTGAGCTGTCACAGACCCACAATAATTATTTGAGCTCGGAGTCGGCGTTAACCCACGCCGAACACAAAGGTGGGTTCCTGCAGACCCCGTCACCCACCCGCTTTCGGCAGCACATCCCTTGCCTGCGCTCCCAGAACTGCGGTCTGCGGAGGAATGATTGAGCTCTAGGTGTCTGCAGCTTCAGGCCACCGAACGAAGAGAAAGAGGAATGCCAAATATTCCAGTTCTCTGAATATACAAGACCAAATAAGGCCCAGATGCCAAGAGAGTAAACACAAGGCTGATCTACCAAGTTTGGGCAAATGTGATTCAGAGTTCCTTAATGCTGCAGATTTTGCCTTGCAGGATAAACTTAATAATTCTCTCTGTGTACACTTATTCTTGTTTAAAAAGGAAGTCTCTGTGTAACCTCCATCTGTCTTTGTCAGCCCCAACTGCTTGTTTGTGAGGACTATGCATGCGAGAAGCTCAGCCATCAACCAAAACCACGAACAAACCGTTTCACGAGGCAGAGAAGTTCTGTGTGTCAGACGAAGGAAAACCCAACACACCCCCAAAACCGTATGGCATCGCCGTTTCCTGAGCTGCCAGGCTGGCACTGAAGACTGCCTCAGGGTCTGAAAACCTGGTTACAGAAAGGAAGGCAGACACCTCGAAGTGGAGATTTGTGTTACACCTTCTGTGGACAAGTAATGAAATTTCCACAGATAATCTGTATTTGTAATCAATAACCGGGTGCAATAAAGCATAGAAACTAAATTAAACACCGTTCTACAGCAAAAAATTGCTACATAAGTGACATTTATTAATGTTCTGCTATATTTACAGTTTTAACATAGTAAAACTCCAAAGTGAATTACCACTTGGCAGAAAGCACAAAAGTGCACATTAAATCTACATTTATAACGCATCATAGTCTCTGCTAACACAAATTATAAAAGCAAGAGTTACAGATATGTTAGGAATTGTCTCAAAAGTCCCAAGCCAAAGAAAAAAAAAAAAAAGGCCTTTGTTTTGCAAGGTAATTTTTTATACAAAGTTGCAACGTGATCTTTCATTTTTACACTACCAATGTGTACCGTGAAAATCCCTATATAGTCCAAAAAGTAGGTAGTATGAAAGTAAAGTATACTACAACATTGAGAATATAGACTATTAAAAAAAGTAATACTTGTGCCACCTTCAAAATAATACTCTCTCCCAACTACACCTCAAGAATCTGTACCGCACAGACCCTTTTCCTTTCGGCCCCAGACAGCACGGGTGCTGCTGGATTTAACCATAGCAGTGCCATCCCTTCGGCTGTTGGGATCATCCCTTCGGCCCTCAGCATTCCGCCCGCGGTCCAGGACAGACCAGAGTCCAAACCCGCTCCCAGGATGGAGGAGGAAATAAAGCAAGCCTGTCCCCTGCTGGCTCCGGGGGCAGGCTCATGCTACCGAAATCACTACAGAAACTATCTATGTAAGGCTTTATTAGCACGTCACAGACTCAACTGCAATAGCTTTTTCAAACATTAGCCACTAATGATTCAATGATTACAGAATTCCGCGTTAATTATTAAAATTTTACACCTAGAAACAAATAGAAAGAAATGCTTCTCCTCTTTCTTTTTCCAACAGTACTTTTATTTATTTATTTTAAAGCAGGTGATTATTTTTTCTTCTGCTCCAGAGTCTTGATTCACTTCCTGCAGGTGTCCTGTTGCTTCTTGAGGGAGAATTCACTAACGCAGGAAGACATTTGCCAGAAAACATCTGTCGGAGAAGGATATTGAATATGGAAACTATAGTTAGATTGTTATTTTGGATTACAGAAGGATGTAGTTCACAAAGAGTGCAGGATGTCTGAAGGCTTATAAAATATCTCAGTACACAATGACGTGACTCCAGCAAAACGCTCAGTAGTTTTGTGCATATTTTACAGTTCTGAAGAGTTAAAATTCCTTAGGGGAAAACAGACACCAGATCAGACAATACTCTTAGAAACACTGGCATAAAAACATACAGGTGTATGAAATTACACTGGACTTGCACTGTGAGAACAAAATTTGACTCAGTCTTTAGTTGCTGCACCCACCCAGGATGATTATGACTTTTGTATCTTTCTATGAAGTGTCCTGGTACGACAGGGACAGCGGCTCTCACAAATAATCTATTCCAGCCATGCTGGCCAGAGCCATTTAAACCCGAGATCCAACAGATCTCTGCTGAGATACTGCCAAGGATGATGTCCATTACTAGCACACATGGACTGAACAGTAAACACCAAGCTCTCGATTAGATTCATTTTCACCAGTTGTTATTTTCTGGTTTGCACTAATTATTCCACTCCTCCTCCCCTCCTAATTTTCTAAAAATTACCCCTGCTCTGAAATGAAAATGATCATTCACCATGCCCTTTTCATCATGCCCTACAGAGAAAATCTAATCTTAAGAACAATAATACACTGAAAATCCAAGTCTTTTGTGGTTTCCTGCTTAGAATTTAGGATTAAAGATTTATTTTCAGGGGAAGTGTCAAAGTTGTAATATTTAGAAATCATTCTGGACAGTTATTTCAATATATCTAAAAGAGAGAGTGCTGTTCGAAAGCTCTAAAATGACCAAAAAATAAACAAATAAATAAAAATTAAAAAAACCCTCTACACCGCCATCCTCACAAGCAAGGAGTCAAGCAAGGTTTCTAAAATTCTAATTTCAAATTCCAAACATGGGAAAAGCCTGTGCAACAAGAAACCACACAGTTCCTTTAATAAATGAAAAATTAAGTTTCAGTAAAGAAGCAAATAAAAAAATGGTTTGGTGAGAACAAACTACAGATGATAAAGCTGATGCTTAAACGCTCACACTACGTGACCATACAACTGGGGGAAATAAACCCTCTGGTGACTCAGCAGGA